TATATATATATATATATATATATATATATATATATATATATATATATATATATATATATATATATATATATATATATAACACACACACACACACACACACACACACACACATATATATATATATATATACCATATACATATATATATGTGTGTGTATGTGTGCATGAATACGCGCATCTCTATCCGGAAGATCACTCAACCCCCAGGCCCAACAAAATCTATTCGCCACAAGCCTCTCTTCCCCCCACACGCATCCCCGCACACACCGTTTCCTCGAATCAATGTGCTTGTCTAGCAGCTTGTTCATGACTCGGAACAGCTGCAGCACGCGTTCTTCTGCACGTGCATGCCTTTGCGGCACAGGCTGCACAAGGAAGGGGTATCGGCGTCCGTTATCGCCTCGGATAATGAACCGTCTGTGCGTGGAGCTGTGCTTCCTGACCACTTGCACCTCCGACTCGAAGCGCGCAATCTTCACCTGTGACGGGAATTGTAGGCCAGAGTGATAGTGTTAGTGTGCATGCGGGGGTGAGTGTGTTAGTGTGTAGCCCATGCGGACGTATTGGTATCATGTATACGTGGAAATTCCAGGTGGTGGATCACTGTGATGCGGCGCGTATAGTTGATTGTGTGTACAACTTACACAGACAACTACGTAAGATACACTCTCACACGCCTACCTACATATGACAAACTCTCACGCACCTGCTTGCCCACGGATATGCTTTCGTACGTCAGATACTCGCCCGGGATGTCGAGGTCGTCATTCTGGTACACGCTGAGCGGGCGGGAGATAGAGCTCAGCGGTTGCGTCTGCGGTAGCGCATTGACATCTGTCAGGAACCGCTGGTGCCATTCGCGTAGTTTCTCGATAACATACATGAGCTTGTAGCCCTCCGGAGGGCGATTACCAAAGTCACGGTCGAAATCAGGGCCGTATATGGCTATCGATGGCGCGACTTTCTCGCTGTACAATGGAGGAGATGTGTGGTGGTTGAGAAATAGTGGTGGCATGGTTTTGTGATGGTGTGGGGTGTATGTAACTCCTGTTGATCTAAATAGAACGTTGCGTGGCAGGCTTTAAACCATCGACGCACCAGCCACGCCGAACAGGCACGCAATGCCGAGAAGGTACACATGGTGTGTTGTCCTCTGCTACGCGGAACGTGGGACAACTAGTGAATTAAGGACTGGTTTGCCCTTCACACACACACATCTGCACGTACACGCACGGCCAATCATGACTTACTTGCTGAAGTTACCATGGAGACGTGTCAGATGCACCTCCACATTGCTTGGCACGGGCTTATGAGAAGTCAGCGGAGACTGAGAGTCAAAGGCCCCCGAAAAGGCCCTCTGCATACACTCCGTCAGCAGAACCTGATATTTTTGTTGTATATACAGATAAAACAAATTGTATACATTGGTGAGCAATCGTTCTCATGCAGCGTTGTATCTACGAAAGAGGGGCATATGCGGGTACATCTCGTAGAATGCGACTAACATATTGGTCAGTATTGCCACACCCACACAGATATCCAGGGTACGATAGCTAGTCACTTGACCTGGCTGAAAGCCAGGCAGCTAAATCCGTGGATTTTGCGGCCGTGATATGTACTGAATAGATATCCCGAGGTGCTAAAGTCATATCTAGGGCCGAATAAACTATAGTACGTCATGCAGATGTTGTCTGTATCTGTGATATACGTCAGACATGTACAGTTCTGACTAGAGATGAAATACAGGCACTACATTCATCTGCGAATACATATATGTCTGGTATATGCAACAGGCATATCCATGCACGCACGGAGACAGTTCGTTTACACACACAGCCCATCTGCATACACTCCATACATACACATACGCCTGGAATTAATTTGACCACCAACACACACCTGGGTAGTCCGCAAGAGATCCTCAACCGGCTGCGGTCTGAACTTTATATGCAGTTCGTCGATGACTACTTCGAGCGCAGTGGTTATCGTGGGATGGTTGGTGCGTACGTGATCCATGAGTCTCTTGATGTAGTCAAACCCGGGTCTAGAAGGTGTGGTCATTGGTGCACCAGTAGAGCCCGAGCTATTCTGTGTGTTCGCGTGAGCCTGTCCAGCATGTGACTGCTGGGCGTACGCAGTGCCTTTGTTCATACTGGGAATGGGTAGGGTTCCAGGCTTTGCACCCGTCGCGCTATTAGTCATAGCGTAGGGCTTCGCGTGTGTACCATTGCCCACAGTATTCCGCACCCCAGACGATACATTGGACCCTCCCGTTCCCACGGCAACGGGTGTGGTGGATCTGTTGACAGATGTACCTACCCCACCAACACCATTATTTCCAGCGGTCGTTTTGGGCTGTTGATACTGTGCGTACGACTGTGTCGGCGGTTGCGTCTGCACTCTAGACACGGTACTTTGGGGCGGAGTCTGCATCGCCTTCGACTGCGATTGCGGTTGAGCCTGTGTGTGTTGTGTCCCCTGTGTAGTAGGTGCCTGTTTTGCGTACTGTGGGTAGGGGTTCGTCCCCACAGCCATACCCGTGTTGGTACTACCCATTCCCGTACCGGTATTGCCCATAGTCGTACCGGTATTGCCCATACCTGCATTGCTGCTATTTACAGCCGGTTTGGAATATGTTTGCTGCATCTGCGGTAGGTTGGCTGTTGTGGCTGACTGAGTGCTTGACGATGGCGCGTACCCTGTCTGCGGCTTCTGCAGTTATATATTTGCAAAGGGATATGAGTGCCTGCAGTCCTATATATTCTCGATGAGGCGGCGTTGCCAACTATGTCTAGTAAGAGGGTGATATACATACATGTCCAGGTTGTGGCGCTGTTCTGTAACAGGCGTGTGCTGCTTGTGCAGCTTGCCTGATTTATACTTGCTCGATTGCGAACAGACACAGACCGCCTGCCCAGATAGCAGCTCAGAAAATGGGAATTTGGGATACAACAGATATATATCAGGCACAGATATAAGATCATAGACTCGATAAATACATTGCTATTGATGTCTACCAGCACACGCCAACTGCGGATGAGCAGCATTACCCGACGTAGCACACGATCTTTAACATCAATTGGCCCAAGTAATGCCTTAACCAATATAATAGCCTTGGTTCGACCACCGATCACAAAGGAACAATCCCATATAAATTAGAAACGAGAACATATAATAACAGCTTGTATGTCATACATTGCCCCGTACACATACACGTTAGTCTAACCAATAACCATAGAAACACACCTGTGATTGTGTCAACGGTGTCGATGATGCGTTGTGTGTGACGGACTGCTGTGGCTGTGGCGTCGACAGGGTGGTGTGCGTGTATGTGCTAGGCCCAGCTCGCGGCCCAGTAGTAGTTGACATAGGCGTGGCAGTTGTATATGAGTGGGTCTGTGCATTGTGCAGCTGCGTTTGTGCCGTGTGCGTAGCCGTTTGTGTCTGCCCCGTGTGTGTTCGCTGGGAGGGTTGTGGCGGGTGTGCTTTTGTCTGCGGCTGTGTTGTATTTTGGTGTGTTTGTGCGTGTGTTTGTGTCTGTGGTTGTGGTTGTGGTTGTGGTTGTGGTTGTGGCTGCGTCTGAGCCTGTTGCTGTGGCTGTGCTTGTACCTGCGTGGTGTGCGTCTGTTGTTGTGATCCCTGGTTGGGCGCTGAGGTACCCATCGTATTTTGAGGCTGACCATACGAGGTGCTTCCCGCCGAATACGGAGCCCGCGGAGATGGTGGTGCAGGTGCCTGAGATGTAACGAGTAAAGGCTCAAAGTCAACCATGCGTATATATGCGTGGGTGTGTGGATGTATCATATATCAATAAATAAATAAATAAATAAATATATATATATGTGTG